GCCTTGTACAAGATGTTTTGCTTGGCTGAAAGTGTTTTGATCTTGCTTAATGGTGTTATATACCATAATGACAGCTGCTTCTAGGCACTTCTTCCCTTCCCCCGAACCTTGTCATTCTATATTCCAACAGGCCATTAGGTGTACATCACAGTGTTAAAAAAAAAAAAAATAAGTACTCTAGTGTGTATCTAATATAATACGTATTGTACACACAATTTACAGTTATAGTAAGCCATTGATTAAGATGCAGTCTGTTAGTACATTTTTGCTATATAACGGTAAAAAAAATTGTACATATTTTCAGTCGTCACGCTGGCAACTTTTAATTCTGCTGTAACAATACATTGCTGTGTTTTTAAGAGTCATTTATCCTAAGTTTATTTATACAAATATTGAATAGGATGGTTATTGATAATAGTGCAAAAAGTAAACAAACCATGGTACAGGTGGGGATTGAACTCACAGCAAACCCTTATCGTGATTTGTTTGCAATCGTGTCATTACGATTTTGTGAGTCAGTGTGAAAAGTAATTAAATGAGAAAATGAAGGGATGATCTTGAGGCACCACCATGATGAATGTTTGTTTTGAGTTCACAGGGCCATCACAGAGCATGCCATGTATATATAAACTGTTTATCACCACAGGAGTCACAGGTTTTATTAATAGATGTGACTAAATTAGTTGTTTCCTTCATACCTATCAATACATGCAGTGTTTTCTTATTCTTTGTATCTGAAGATTCTGAAACTATACAAATTGATAATCAAAGTTTTATGTCCTTTGCTTCATTACATTTGCATAATCAGGGTTTTAATGAGAGTAAACTCAATATAATGTGAATACAGTACCTAGGGTATATACATTGTGCATCACTTTGGTTATTAAACTTTTTTATTTTGTGATGAATAAATGACTTGCAGGTTCTGGATTCACTGGTTCTTTACTTGTCTGAGACACTACCACCATCATTAGTGTAATGTGTCTTCACCTTCTCTTCATTTGCATAATCAGGGGTAAAAAAAATAAGAGGAATCTGGATATATGTGTATACAGTATCTACTTCATAAACAGTGTGCATACATTTAGCTGATGTTGCTGATAAACTTGTATTTCATGATTAATAAATGATGTGTGAGGGATGCTTGCAATGTTGACATCTGCTTGTCCCTCCCTCCATCCTCTGCTCCTTACTCATTTCTATAATTGAAAATGTGAGGGAAATGATATTTTATTTAATTTTGTATATAAATTAATATCAGTTGTTTATATTTACAAAAACATTCTGGTAGTCAGTTTCATAACAGTGAGATGGACATTGTCCCTTGGTTTATCACAGCTCTCAAACCCAATAATAATGACAGGACCAAGTAATAACCTCAGATAGTTTTTCACTATTTAGATATTTTTTTGGAGAGCTGGCACTCATTTTATATGGGATATTACTTTAGCCATGTTTATTTAGTAAAAAATCTGTTCTTATGTCTAGAACTATGTGGTATTTTTAATGATGGTTGCAGGTGATTGTAGTTGTTTGGTGACAGGTGATAGTTGTGGCAGGTTGTGGTTGCTGAACTACCTGCCATATGTTTGTACAGGTATTGTTTAGGGTTCACATCAACCCTCTCCACACATTTTTAGATCAACAAGCAATGACAACTATATTTTAAGGAATGGAAAACTTAATTATTTTTTAAGTCTTGACAACTTACAAGGCCTTAAAAAATTTGGTTGATATTTTGGGGGATTCCTGGATTCCTATAAGTTCTTTTGCTCATTTTACATGATTTTTAATTATACACTGTTCTGAGAAATATAAATGTTGTCTTAGTCAATAGTCTACTGTATATTGCCATGAACATTGGGAATAAAGACTGGTAGCAGAGGATCCTTGTAATACAATGTTTTGCCCAAAGTTAAGCAGAACATTTGAGTCAATTTTTGCCACTCTCTACCTGCAGTGTACAATTAAAATAAAGCAGCTAAAAGTATAGTTCCCTCTAGGCTGGAATACTGCTGTACATTAACATCTCCATTCAAAGCAGGTGAAATCGCAGATCTAGAGAGTGTACAGAGATCCTTTACTGCACGTATAAGTTCTGTCAAGCACCTTAACTACTGGGAACGCTTGGAAGCACTTGACTTGTACTCGTTGGAACGCAGGAGGGAGAGATATATCATAATCTACACTTTGAAAATCCTGGAAGGAATGGTCCTAAATCTGCACACAGAAATCACTCCCTATGAAAGTAAAAGACTGGGCAGGCTATGCAAAATACCCCCAATTAAAAGTAGGGGCACCATTGGTATACTAAGAGAAAACACCATAAGTGTCTGGGGCCCAAGACTGTTCAACAGCCTCCCACCAAGCATAAGGGAAATTACCAATAAACCCCTGGCTGCCTTCAAGAGTGAGCTGGACAGATACCTAAAGTCAGTGCCAGATCAGCCAGGCTGTGGTTCGTACGTTGAATTGCGTGCGGCCAGCAGTAACAGCCTGGTTGATCAGGCCCTGATCCACCGGGAGGCCTGGTCGTTGACTGGGCCGTGGGGGCATTGATCCCCGGAATAGCCTCCAGGTAGGTAGATCCATTGGGTTTTGCCATTATTTTAAGTATTATGACCAGGCTCCCGGAGTAGAAAGACTCAAAAACTCATCAAAGGTACAGGTATACAAACTTGCATGCCAGTCCAAGGAAAGGGAAGGTTGCTTCAAGGTTTTGGCTGAAGAAATCTTACTAGAATCAAGGTAGCTTAAAGGGTCTGGGTACTTGGCTATTATGGCCATGCTTAAAAATTCCAAGGGAAGTACAGTACAAATAGTGTTTGCTTGCTGGAATTAAAAGTTAAATTAAATTCACTTAAATATTTTTCACATATCTTTATCATTAGTTTCAGAATCTTTTGGTGGGTGCAAGCAAAAACATACCACCTGCATAACCAAACACTTGTTATCAATACCATCTGCCTGTCCGAATATGTTTTGTCAATAGTTGCATATTCAAGCAAATTGTCAATACAGTCTACATACTCGAAAACGTGTTGTCAATATTACAGTGCCACACACTCAAATCTGTTTTATAGTGGAGCCAGGAACACTAAAAACAAGCCAGGACTTGGAACAGTCATCTGCTTCACCCCATTACCCAAAGAAAAATATATGTTTACATTATTCCATTATTGGAGCAAGGGGCTAGTAACTTTTGTTTCTTTTTAGGTCACCTCAGGGCTTTAAAATGTGTTCAGGCACCAAGTTTTAGGGCACTACATATTGTTCTTCATAAACTTTTTTTTTTAGCATCTAAACCCCTAACCAATACAGGCATGGAGAGGGTGATTGACGTTATGATCAGTGAAAAGTTCTGAACACCTAAGGGTCACTTATGTAGTGAATGGGGAATGGGAGAAGTAGTGCAGAGTCAGATTTGGTCCTAGAATTGGAGGGTAGCTTAAATTCCATGAATAAAGATTCCTTTACCACTAACAAGGCACATCTCTGGAAAAGTCTAGAGCAGTTGAGAGTTCATTGTTTATGTTCACAGCAGTTGTCAGACTTCTTACATCCAGGATATATAATGAGCACCTCTTTTGTCATTGAGGCCATCTTTGATTCCTTAATACATCTAGGGCATCCTTATATTTTAGGGAAGTGAGGTGAGAGAAACCTACATTGTGTGGGGATTTACCAGTCTGGACTTAAAGGTCAGGTAGTCCAGCTTAAAGGGGAAGTAGCAGAGGAGAACCAAGGGTGGCCTCCCTTAGGCCCCCCTTGTCTCTCCTGCTGCTGTTGGTTCATCTGTTGCTGTTGTTCTTAATGTCTTCTGCTGTTGTTGGTGCTTTTGCCAGTGCTGGTTCTTCTGCTATTATTTGTGCTTCACTTGCTGTTTGTTTCTTTTAATGTTACTAATGGTATTTCTGCTGCTGTTATTAGGTTTAGGGAGTTAGTAGACTTGGACAAATACTTCAGAAGGTAACTGGACATTATGCCTATGGGCAAAATGTGGAATTGCAGATTTTTCTCTGATAATGAGAGCATTTGTCAGGCCTTTTTTTCTTTTTTTCTTTTGCAAAATCCATTAATGAGAGGTTTTGTTGTATTTACCATAATCAATACTTTATCTTAGCAATAGTCTCTGCACTGGCATGGCTTCACTGTCAGTACTGTAAAACATTTTTTGAACTCTGTTGATTCTGTTTCTAGTTTACAGCAAAATAATAACTTGAGCTTGTTCCCAAGATGCTCCTAGGTCCTAGGATATTGTGTTTTTCAGTGTATCAATAATTTATAACAGCACCATGACAAAAAAATTGCTAGAGTTAAATAATCATAATAGTAGCATTTTGTCTTTTTGCCACTTGGTCCCATCAGTCCATTTGTTCATTAGATTGTTACCTTTTTTTTATCCTCTGATTTGAGAATAGTGAGTAGTTCTTGTTTTATAAATTTCAGATATAGTTTTAAAAAGTTCTGTTAACCGTATGTGAAGAATAAGCTTCGAATAAGAAATGCTAAAATATGTAGTCAAAAACTAGGCACTTGCATTTTGATTCCACCTACCATGAAGTGCATCTGGAAATCATGCACCTTACTGTTACATTATGTGTTTAAAAAAAAAAAATGTATGAATGGAAAGTACTGGAAAGCCTTATACCCTTATGCTTTTAGCGTACTGCACTTACAGTACCCCTGCAAAAGTACCCTCTGATCTCTTAAGGAGCTACGTATATGTGTACAAATTTAGAATTATTGTAATTAAATTTGTGAACTCTTTACACGTGATGGACTTAGTCATCGCTCAGAGCAACTAATTGCAGTACTTGCACATGGTTTCTCAACACAGTATAATAGCCCTTGTGTCAGTCTCAGACTAGGATGTAATTTACAGTAGGTTGTACTGTCAAATTATATTTGCTTGTTTTACACAACTTAGGTAATAAAATTTAAATACACAATATCCTATCAGTTATGCAGTATAGTAAGTACCCTTTTGTACTTTGCAGCACGGACAGTGGACGTGACAACCCTTTCCGGCCTGATGGTGATATCTCCCGAGAGGCTGATGAGATTGTTCAGCTTATTAAATCAGGCCGGCCACTACAAGGGCAGGCAGGCCAACGACCTGGAGACTTCACAGACTCCATAGATGGCCCTCAATCATCTCCAACTGGAAAAGAGGCTGTCACGGAGCCTCTTTTCTCACCAAAAGATGCTTCTCCTCAACAGCAACAACAACCGCAGCAACTGCAGCAGCAGCATCAGCCAACACCAACAGCAGTACCAACAAAGCCATTGATGGACAGCACACCATCGCCCCCAGGGAAGGCAGGTGCCAATGGATCAGCAGCACCAGAAAACTCTACGCCAGGCACTGTTGAGGTGACACATGTCACGGTCACTCCCACAGACGCTGCCCACGTTGAACATGTTGTCATTAAGAAGAAAAGCAAGTGTAACTGCTGCGTGATCCAATAGTGTGGGCAAATGGGTGGGCGTGGACAGGGCGAGGGCGTAACACTAGTCGCCCTAGCAGTAAGACTAAGACACGCATGGAGTAATCCTGGGGCTAGAAGTGCGGTGTTGCTTGACTTAACATGTGCTTTGTCTTCTCTGCTGTGTGCACAATCCACCACGACTCTTATTAAAAGTGTTCCAAAGAATGACGAAAATATATTTTATGTATCTTAATAATTTCTTATATAGTTTTCTGCTAGGTAAACAAAATGGTTATTTCTCTCTGCTTAGATTGCCTTCATTTAATCACTGAAACACACACTACATTACTAGTTGGCCAGATTTATTATATTTCTTTGCTCCTGCGAGTGTCTGCACAGTCAGAAACTCGTATGTTGCAGGGGAGCCTTCAGGTACTTGCACACTGCCTGCAGCTCCCAATTGTCTAGGGCCTCACCAGATACTCATGAAGTATCTAGAGAATGACTAGGCATTCACATGGGACTTAAGGATAGCCTGACAAGTATTCAGTAAGGTCCAACAAGCACTCGTGTGTTGTAGTGCCTTGGCCTCTAGGCACTCATCCAGTGTCTTGGGGTATGCTTGACACTTCTTCAGTGTTTACAACCGGCAGTACACGTCAGTGTTTGAAAGTTATTAAACACTGAAGCAATGTCTCTGACATGACGAGCACTTATTAAGTGTCTGGATGTAGTGTGAAGTGTGATGGAAGAGGCTTCTCTAGGGAGGAAATCCCTAGTTGAAGAAATAAGCTCCTTCTATAGAAGGATTGTAACTTGAATCTCCTCAATTTAACTGACTGATCAAATTTTTATGTGAATGTAAATATTCTTCATTGCTGAAGTGGATAATCCATAGTGATAAAATTTTTAGAAGACTGTATTGGGAAGGGTCATTCTGCTTGAGGTTGTAGAATTTTATAAATAATGTCTGGAGGGGCTGTAAGTCGGATACTGTAGGTTCCTATATAATGAGGTATAATCCTCAATGTTGTAAGATTTTTTATTTAAAGGTTGTACTCCTTGAGTGTGCAAGATTGTCAGGAGTTATAAGGAGTGTGGTATGGCTATGGTGGTGGCAGTTGCGAGCAAGGTAGATAGGGATAACCATGGTGCTAGGGGCAGTGGGCTAGCCACATTCTCACAGCTGCTTCACCACTTCCCATGTCACCCTTCAACAGGGATAAGATATGATCACATAGACCATTGTAATGGCAGCTTTCTTGGATGACCAGTTACATAATCATTGCTTCATAAAGTAAACCTGATAAATTCTGTTCATTTTCGTTAAAACAGTGTGGACAAATAACCTGGTATAACCACACAAACGTCTTAAGTAAATTTTAATAAAAACTCTTGAATGTGAGAAAAATTTCTTCGTGTAATTTTCACTAGATGAGGAAGTCAGTCACTTACCTGAAAATAAACTATATTGAAAACTTGTAAATTTGACAGATGTGTAATTTGAGAATTAATTTATCATCAATGATAGTTAATGCAGTGAAGAAACAGGTATTGTTCATGTGTTTGTTAGGTGCATGTCAAGAGTTTGTAAGCATTGTGTTCCAAATGATGTTGTACAACCTCAGAATTTGTACACAGTTTGAATTGACTTTTGTGGTGCAAGAACCCATGACCTGTATGATGAATGAAAGTTATTACATGCTTGTGATATGGTTACCTTATATTTTTGAGTTTGGATTTCTTTAGATATAAAATTGAAAATATTACACATTGATCTCCTTGATTAAACAATTCATTTTATCTGTATTTTGCAGCATTTTATATTTCAACATGATACTGCCATATGGTGATAATTTGACACTATAAAGAATATCAGTATTTGGCATGAAATAGGTTTTTACCTCCACTGATTTTGTTGCGCTGTTTTATTCCATTTTTATTTTACAAATACTAATTTCCAGGAATTTTAGTAACTCGTAGCTCATTTGAGTTTAGTTCTATAATTAACATATAGCTCAGTCAAATTCTAAATGTGATATTTTTTCCACAGTATAATATTGCAGTTTTTTTTCACTGATATTTTATGTATATATATATATTTTTGTTTGTCCATATCTGAAATTTTGAGTTTGTGAAATTGGCTTGGAAGAATAAGTGAATATAACACTGGCAAACACACTCATGGTCTTCTAAAAGATAATGTTCACATTATAAAGGTGTTGTATAGTACTTTACATCTCTTCAATACTTGCGTAGACAGTATTAGCAACTCATTTCTTATCTGTCCAGTACCGAGTGAACATCAAACTTAACGTATGCACGTATATTGCACTTTTTGGAATTTTTAAAATTTTAAATGAACACAACAATTATTATATTCTGAATTTTTATCTATTAATTGTATATTTGAGATTTAAAATCTTGATATAAAATGAACATTACACATTTTTTTGCAATTAATACATTGTAGTTGCACTTTGAAAAATAGGTTGTTACATATTTTATTTATTTATATTTTTAGCAGGGTAATTACATTATTTCTGACATTACTTACAGGCTAAGGAAGAAAGAGAATGTGTACATAGTTTATTGATAGAGGTTCATATGTAAATTTTACATAAATTCATCATTGTAAAAAGCATATAGGAGTAAAGCACTTAGTTCCTTTTGTTAGATTCATTCATTATAATGTAATTGGAAGATTTTTCTCAGAAGTTAGATTCTGAGGAACTTTATGGAGAGAGCACATTTATCAATTCAAATTATTAAACTATAATGAATGACAACTTGCTGCCTTCAAGAGGGACTCAATATGCATGGTGAATTTCTATGACGATTATGTTTAATACGATTACAATGTAGAATTGTACGTTTCAACACTGTCTTATTGTGGGATCTTGTCTTGTGATGCTGATGAATATCTCCAAAAGACAGGTATTATTTGTAGTTATATAGACGACTTTAAAATGTTGACCTAAAGAAACTAATCAGAAATGCCAACAAAAAAGTAAATATAAATATCAGGTGAGCTGTGAATATCTGAGTACTACAAATTCACCTACACACATATCCTCATTGTTTTTGTTGAATGAAATTGTCAATTATTTTTCTCTTTGTATACAAGATCCCCTGTCGAAAGCCTCTATGCAGAAGCGAACGTTCCATCCTTATCCGATCGCCGTGATGCCCATTGCCTGCGCTACTATGTACGCTCTCATGATCTCCGCAATCCTTCCATTTATAGAATGGTCACTGATATTAGTAGACATTCTTTATTTGTTCGCCGCCCCTGCTTACTCCGTCCCTTCTCTCTTCGCCTTCATTCGCTCTTGTCTTCTCTTCAACTACCACCTTTCTATGTACATGTAGCATCTCACTTTTCCCTACCCCCCTGGGAAGTTCCAGCTGTTCGAGTCTGTTCTTTCTCCCTCCCTTGCTCGAAAGCCCAACTGTCTACGGTCGCTTCCCGCTCTCTTTTTCTTGACCACTTTCACTCTCATTCTCATGCCATTGCTGTGTACACAGATGGCTCTAAGTCTTCTGACGGCGTAGGATTCGCAGCAGTGTTTCCGGACAGCGTCGTACAAGGGCATTTACTATCTTCGGCTAGTATTTTTACTGCTGAATTATATGCCATCCTTACAGCACTTATCCTATTGCATCTATGCCTGTGTCATCATTTGTGGTTGTCTCAGACTCCCTTAGTGCTTTACAGGCTATACAAAAATTTGATACACCTCACCCCTTAGTCCTCCGTATCCAACTTTGGCTACGCCGCATCTTTACCAAGCATAAAGATATTGTTTTTTTGTTGGGTCCCTGGTCATGTTGACGTACAGGGCAATGAACAGGCAGACACTGCTGCGCGGTCAGCAGTACATGACCTACCAGTTTCTTATAGAGGTATTCCATGTACGGACTATTTTGCTGTAATATCTTCCCACCTTCACACCCGTTGGCAACAACGTTGGTCTACTATGCTCGGCAACAAACTTCAGTCTATTAACCGAGTATAGGTTACTGGCCGTCTTCTTATCACCAGTGTCGAGGTTGGGAGACTACTCTCTCCCGTCTTCGCATTGGCCATACTCGTCTTACTCATGGATATCTCATGGAGAGGCGTCTTGCTCCTCTCTGTGAGAATTGCCAAGCTCCATTATCAGTCAGCCACATTCTGTTGGACTGCCCACTTTATCAACGAGCACGCAGAATTTACCTCTGTCGTCGTCTTCGCCCGCTGCTCTCTCTTTACCTTCCCTTCTCGCTGATGGACCCACCTTTCATCCGGACTCTCTCATTGACTTTTTGACAACGACTGACTTACTACACAAATTCTGATACTTTCAGCCCTTTCTACTTGAATCTCTTGCTACCCTCTACCCCCGTACTATCCCCTGCCCCGCTGTTTTCTGTAACCTGCTGATCATCCCCCCTCCCTTCTGCCATCCAATTCCCTTGCTTCCTTCCCTACCCTGCAGCGCTGTATAGCCCTTGTGGCTTAGCGCTTCTTTTTGATTATAATAATAATAATAATAATTTGTATACAAGAACATGTGCATCAAGATATTGTATAATGTTACTGTTATGCATAAATAACTGCCAATACATCAAAACATCTTTGCTACTGAAGGTTATATAGACTTATATACATAAATCCATCTCTTTGTCACATATGATTACAGATAGGAAGGAGTCTTTGCACACCTTATACTTGTGGCTTCATTGTATATTGCCAGAAGTTATAGATATCAAACAGCCAAGTACATATGGACGTTCCAGTCAAGCTGTGTGTTCTCAATCTCAGCCCTAACTTTGATGGTGCCCAAGGTATAGCAATTTATGAACTGCTACACCTGGAACATCCTTATGCATGGTGATACATCCTGTTAGAAGCTTCTCCATAGTAATATACTGAATTTTCTCTGGCCTGTCTGCTTGCAAGTCAGAGGTAGGGAGAAAAAAATGGGTCTTTATGGGACGAAGAATTTCACTATATTGTGTGACAGTTATGGCACAGGGGTTCTGCATATACAGTAATTCTAAAGTCATGTAAATATTAAATAAATATTATCAGAGGACTAATGCTTAGAGGGTGTATGGTTGTAAGTAAACAGGTTATTAACATTGTGGCATGTGATTTGGGGGAGGGGAGGGAAGATACAAGTTGACAGGTCAAAAAGAATCATACCACCCGCATATGGCATTTTGTCGATCATTCATTAAGGTAGAGGTAATTACATGTATTTGTACCAAAATCATTGTGAAATATATAAATAATTGCATAAATAAAGTGTTTGTTTTCCAGAGCCTGTGTTTCCCTATATTCCAAATACTCTACAGTACATGCATAGTCCAAACTTGAGGGAATGCAACATTTTATCTAATATCAGTTTCTATGTAACTTTGCATTACATTTGGGGATTTACTACAATTGCATTTGCACATTATGTAATGGTTAACTATACAGTTCTTCCATATCTCATATCATTATCCTCTGTTAATTAAGAGTGCCTTTCTTAATTCTTTGAAAAGGGTAAATAAAGAGATTACAAAGAGTAGAGGAGAGAGAGATTTTGGGAGATGTTAAGTGAATGTATAGGAACCTTTGAACCAAGTGAGAGAGTAATTGTGGTAGGGGACCTGAATGCTAAAGTAGGAGAAACTTTTAGAGAGGGTGTGGTAGGTAAGTTTGGGGTGCCAGGTGTAAATGATAATGGGAGCCCTTTGCTTGAACTTTGTATAGAAAGGGGTTTAGTTATAGGTAATACATATTTTAAGAAAATGAGGATAAATAAGTATACAAGATATGATGTAGGGCAAAATGACAGTAGTTTGTTGGATTATGTATTGGTAGACAAGACTGTTGAGTAGACTTCAGGATGTACATGTTTATAGAGGGGCCACAGATATATCAGATTACTTTTTAGTTGTAGCTACACTGAGAGTAAAAGGTAGATGGGACACAAGGAGAATAGAAGCATCAGGTAAGAGAGAGGTGAAGGTTTATAAACTAAAAGAGGAGGCAGTAGGGTAAGATATAAACAACTATTGGAGGATAGATGGGCTAATGAGAGCATAGGCAATGGGGTAGGTTTAAAAAATGTAGTGTTAGTGTTCAGCAGAAGTTTGTGGTTACAGGAAAGTGGGTGCAGGAGGGAAGGGGAGCGATTGGTGGAATGATGTAAAGAGAGTAGTAAGGGAGAAAAAGTTGGCATATGAGAAGTTTTTACAAAGTAGAAGTGATGCAAGGAGGGAAGAGTATATGGAGAGATAGAGGTTAAGAGAGTGGTGAAGCAATGTAAAAAGAGAGCAAATGAGAGTAGGTGAGATGTTATCAACAAATTTTGTTGAAAATAAAAAGTTTTGGAGTGAGATTAACAAGTTAAGGAAGCCTAGAGAACAAATGGATTTGTCAGTTAAAAATAGGAGAGGAGAGTTACTAAATGGAGAGTTAGAGGTATTGGGAAGATGGAGGGAATATTTTTAGGAATTGTTGAATGTTGATGAAGATAGGGAAGCTGTGATTTCGTGTATAGGGCAAGGAGGAATAACATCTTGTAGGAGTGAGGAAGAGCCAGTTGTGAGTGTGGGGGAAGTTTGTGAGGCAGTAGGTAAAATGAAAGGGGGTAAGGCAGCTGGGATAAAGATAGAAATGTTAAAAGCAGGTGGGGATATAGTTTTGGAGTGGTTGGTGCAATTATTTAATAAATGTATGGAAGAGGGTAAGGTACCTAGGGATTGGCAGAAAGCACGCATAGTTCCTTTGTATAAAGGCAAAGGGGACAAAAAGAGAGTTCAAAAATTATAGGGGGAGATAAGTCTGTTGAGTATACCTGGTAAAGTGTATGGTAGAGTTATTATTGAAAGAATTAAGAGTAAGACAGAGAATAGGATAGCAGATGAACAAGGAGGCTTTAGGAAAGGTAGGGGGTGTGTGGACCAGGTGTTTACAGTGAAACATATAAGTGAACAGTATTTAGATAAGGCTAAAGAGGTTTTTGTGGCATTTATGGATTTGGAAAAGGCGTATGACAGGGTGGATAGGGGGGCAATGTGGCAGATGTATGGTATAGGAGGTAGGTTACTGAAAGCAGTGAAGAGTTTTTACGAGGATAGCGAGGCTCAAGTTAGAGTATGTAGGAAAGAGGGAGATTATTTCCCAGTAAAAGTAGGCCTTAGACAAGGATGTGTGATGTCACCGTGGTTGTTCAATATATTTATATGGGGTTGTAAGAGAATTAAATGCGAGGGTCTTGGCAAGAGGTGTGGAGTTAAAAGATAAAGAATCACACAAAGTGGGAGTTGTCACAGTTGCTCTTTGCTGATGACACTGTGCTCTTGGGTGATTTTGAAGAGAAGTTGCAGAGGTTGGTGAATGAATCTGGTAGGGTATGTAAAAGAAGAAAATTGAAAGTGAATACAGGAAAGAGTAAGGTTATGAGGATAACAAAAAGATTAGATGATGAAAGATTGGATATCAGATTGGACGGAGAGAGTATGGAGGAGGTGAATGTATTCAGATATTTGGGAGTGGACATGTCAGCGGATGGGTCTACGAAAGATGAGGTGAATCACAGAATTGATGAGGGGAAAAGGGTGAGCGGTGCACTTAGGAGTCTGTGGAGACAAAGAACTTTGTCCTTGGAAGCAAAGAGGGGAATGTATGAGAGTATAGTTTTACCAACGCTCCTGTATGGGTGTGAAGCATGGGTGATGCATGTTGCAGCGAGGAGAAGGCTGGAGGCAGTGGAGATGTCATGTCTGAGGGCAATGTGTGGTGTGAATATAATGCAGAGAATTCGTAGTTTGGAAGTTAGGAGGAGGTGCGGGATTCCCAAAACTTTTGCCCAGAGGGCGGAGAAGGGTTGTTGAGGGGGTTTTCGGACAGTAAAGAAAATGGGGGGCGAACAAAATGACTTCAAGGGGTATCAGTCTGTGTGGAAGGAAGCAGGGTAGGGGGGGGGCCTAGGAAAGGTGGGGGGGAAAAAAGAGGTTTTGTGTGCGGGGGGCTTTGACCTCCAGGGGGCATGCGTGGGTGTTTGATGGGGGAAGGGAGCAAATGGTTTTTTAATCTGACATGCTGGGGAGTGTGAGAAAAGTAACATTTATGAAGGGTTCAGGGAAACCGGAGGCCGGATTTGATCCGGGAGATGGGAAAGTCGTGCCTGCACTCTGAAGCGGGATGTTAATGTTGCAGTTTAAAAACTGTGTGTAAAGCCCCCTTTCGGGCAAGACATTGGAGTAATGAGGGGAAAAGTTTTTCTTTTTCGAGCCACCCTCCCTTGGTGGGAATTGGCCAGTGTTTAGTAAATTTAAATTAAAATACAAAGAGTTATTTCCTGGGTCGAGTGGATTATATACCTAACACACGGCTGCCTCCCACTGGGGTAGGGTGCCCCAAAAATGAAAAATTCCATCATGTCTGTCAAAGGTCCCCAATACTACAGTTCAGATGCTATCCAAATGAAAATATCCCCACCCCTTCAGGTACGGGCCCCATTTTCTTTCTCTCGACATCCCGTTTCCACTTTCAACACAAAAACTTTGCTTTTAGAAACCCCACTCCATACATTTGCCACCTGCTCCCCTATTTTTTTAACCAGCCAAATCCACCAAGGCGGGGTGCCCCCAAAAAAAAAGAAAAAACAATCATTTCTTCCTCCATCATGTTTTGCAACAAATAGTTCCAAAACCTTCCTCTAAATAATATTTGATGAAAAAACAATTTCACATCTACCTCCCTAAAATCTCCCCGTTCCCCTGTAATCCTACTTTACTTACCCCAATTCTTTCAAGAAACATTTACCATAGTCTATCTCTAATTCACAGTTAAGTGTTTGGTTACCTCAATCTGCTGCCACCTGCTCCTGGAAACACCAGAGAATAAACTCGCAGATGAAAATGACCCAAAGAGAAGAGAGCCCAACGGATAGACTACAAAGACCCCCTTTCAGTTTACAAGGTAAGGGTTTGGTGATTACCCTCAAACTTGTACTTGCCTCACCAACTGCTGCGTGCCGTAGGGGGCATCCATTTAAGACATTTGTCTCTCATAATTTTCAAGGTGCTGGTTACCCCAAACTAAGATAAAATGCCCCTGTCTCATGGAAAAAAAAAAATTTAATCATAAGTACTCAAAAAATTTACATTTAATTTTCCTTTACTGCAATTACAAAACTCTGTATCCCAGACACACATGACTGATTACTCACTGCGCTTGCCTGGGGGTCCAATGTGTGTGGTCAAAAGTGTAACACCCCTTTGGGAACAAACCCCCCCCCAAGGAGCCCCTTCAGGATGCCGTCAAACTCGCTGCCAGATGCTTTAAAAATTAACACACATAATTGCAAGACAGATACGTACAGTACAAATAAATGCTCTCAGTACATGTTTTCCCTAACTTGGGTTCCCAACACCTCACCTGCTGCCTTTTTTGACCATCTTATGTAAAAATGCGAATGAATAAAGGTTTATATTCTTCAGTGTCTTTTTTATCATCAATAATGTAATTTTTTTATATTAAACAATAATTATTAATAAGAAATATGAAAACTAATACTAAAGTAGGCCTACTGGCCCCCTTCTCACTATAATTTGTCTAACCTTTTTTTGAAGTTACCAATTTGGGGGTTTAAATAACTATGGAGGGGGGGTGTTCCACCTTTCTACAAGTGTAATATAGTGTAATATAATATAGTCTTTTCTTACTCTTTCTAATATGATTTTATCAAACTTGTTTTCCCTGATGGAATTCTATTTTGGTTATTTAAATTCTTAGAACCCATTTAATTACCCTTTGGCTTAAACTGTTTTCATTTTATAACTGACTGGCTTCATTTATATCTCCCCTATTCTATGCCCCCTTCACGAGTGTAATTTAAAGACTCAATCTACATCATTTGTAAGATTACTTGTTCTTCTTTTTTCAAAACCAGCCCCCCACCCCCACGAGGCAGGGTGACCCTAAAAAAAAAAAAAAAGTTTTCTTTTAAAATTTTAGAAAATTATACGGGAGGATTTTAAATACCCCCTTGCTATGGGATTTTAGTTCCCTTTTACGACAGTATAAATTAAGAGGAAGAATTCTTTTCGTTTCCCCCATGGAAATAAGCAAATAAAAAAAGAAGAAAGTCCCAGAGGGTGTGTGTTATTTATATATATGCTTTTTCATGCATGTGTAGTATACCTCCCTTTAAAGAGTTTTGAAAGTTTATCTACTCTTTTAGTCCATCATGGGCGGCTTGCTGATGATTGCTGGTCAACCGGTTGTTCTGCTGGAGGCCCGTTAAGTAGATGTGCAAGACATACCTGAAACCTTGCATGTACAAGACAGAAAAAAAAAGATACCAGCAATCCTACCAACATGTAAAAAAAATTAAGGGTTTTGTTTCACACTCACTTGGCGGGACAGTAGTACCTCCCTGGGCAGTTGCTGTCTACCACCCTACTACCTAGAAAGATTCCTCATACGGTGGATTAATTTTGTCATCCTTCTCTGTACATTCTCTAATACAGTTTTGTATATCCATTCTGTAATATGATGACAAGAACTAAGCTGCATAATTTAAGTGAAACCTTACTAAAGATGTATAGCTATAGGATAACCCTTGGATTCCTGTTTCTTATAAGTCTTGATGTACAGTACATCATAAATTCAGTTTGTATGCAATTTTTCTACATGTTTTTGCCATTACACAGTTAAAAGTTTGCTACATATTTTCAAAGAGTATGCCATAATCTTCATTTAGTAAAATATGGCATCCTGAAAATTATGTGCATATATAAGTCCCATGTCTAGGTAGTAGGTTGGTAGACAGCAACTGCCCAGGGAGGTAAGAACATAAGAACATAAGAACGAAGGAACACTGCAGAAGGCCTACTGGCCCATGCGAGGCAGGTCCAAGTCCCTACCGGCCTAAGCCAATGCACCCAACCTAGTCAGGTCAGGTCACATTGACTTAAGGGAGGAACACGGCAACCGACCTGTTAGCACAAGCTATCAGGTCTAACTCACACCCACCCACATCTACTCATGTATTTATCCAACCTATTTTTAAAGCTACACAACGTTCTGGCCTCTATAACGGTACTTGGGAGTTTGTTCCACTCATCCACAACTCTATTACCAAACCAGTACTTTCCTATATCCCTCCTGAATCTGAATTTTTCCAACTTAAAACCATTGCTGCGAGTCCTGTCTAGGCTAGATATTTTCAGCACACTATTTACAATCCCCTTTATTTATTCCTGTCTTCCACTTATAAACCTCAATCATATCCCCCTAATTCTACGTCTTTCTAGAGAGTGCAGTTTCAGGGCCCTTAGTCTATCCTCATAGGGAAGGTTTTCTGATACATGGGATCATCTTTGTCATCCTCCTTTGTACATTTTCCAGAGAATTTATATCCATTCTGTAATACGGTGACCAAAACTGTGCAGCATAATCTAAATGAGGCCTAACCAAGGATGTATAGAGTTGAAGAACAACCTGAGGACTCCTATTATTTATGCTTCTTGATATGAAGCCAAGGATTCTATTAGCTTTATTGCGAACACTTATGCACTGTTGTCTTGGTTTCAGATTACTGCTAACCAGAACTCCTAAATCTTTTTCGCAATCCGTAATATTAAGATCTACATTATTTAGTTTATATGTGGCATGGTTATTGTCCTGTCCAACATTTAGAACTTTGCATTTGTCTATATTAAACTGCATCTGCCACTTCTCCGACCACTGCATCAGTCTATTCAAATCTTCCTGGAGTGCTCGAATGTCCTCGTCAGAATGAATTCGACGGCCTATTTTGGTGTCATCGGCAAACTTGCCGATGTCGCTCTTTATGCCCTCATCTATGTCGTTTATGTAGATTGTGAACAGCAGGGGCCCAACACTGACCCCTGTGGAACAACCGCTCGTGACGCTTCCCCACTCTGATTTCTCCCCATTTATGCAAACTCTCTGCTGCCTATTTGTCAACCATGCCTCTATCCAGGAAAAAATTTCTCCTCCTATTCCATGTGCTTTAATTTTCCTCAATAGTCTCTGATGTGGGACCCTGTCAAAAGCCTTACTGAAGTCCATATACACAATATCATATTCATTACCATGATCTACCTCCTCAAATACCTTAGTGAAAAAAGTTAATAAATTCGTAAGGCAGGAACGCCCCTTTGTAAAACCATGCTGAGATTCGTTGATTAATTTATGCTTTTCAAGGTGGCTACGAAACTGCCTCGGCAATTATTGATTCCATAAATTTTCCCACTATGGAGGTTAGGCTTATTGGTCTATAGTTCGAAGCTAAGGACCTGTCACCTGTTTTGAAAATAGGTATCACATTTGCCATTTTCCACTTATCTGGCACCATGCCAGTTTGTAGTGATATGTTGAAAAGATTAGCCAAAGGTGTGCTAAGCTCCTCTTTACATTCCTTTAGAACCCTTGCATACAGTTCATCAGGGCCTGGGGATTTGTTAGGTTTTAATTTATCTATTTGCCTAAGGACCATGTCACTTGTGACCCTAATAGTGCACAGTTTATTATCGTCCTGTTCTACATAATTTATCATTACTGGAATATCGCTGGTATCCTCCTGTGTAAAAACTGAGAGGAAGTATGTGTTAAAAATTCTACACATTTCCTTATCACTGTCAGTGAGCTGACCCGAGGAACTTTTGAGTGGGCCTATCTTGTCCCTGATCTTACTTCTGTATACCTGAAAGAATCCTTTTGGGTTAGTCTTCGATTCTCTTGCAACTTTAACCTCATAATCTCTTTTTGCTTTTCTAATTCCCTTTTTTATTTCTCTCTTTAACTGAATATATCGATTTCTTAATTGCCCCCCTCCTCTTTTGATTTGCCTATATATGCCTCTCTTTTGACCAATCAGATATTTTAATCTATTGTTCATCCATTTAGGATCATTTTTGTTTGATCTGATTTCCCTATTTGGAACATAATTTGACTGAGCAGCTAGAACTATGCCCTGGAAAGCATCATATCGGCAACCATCACCACCTACCTGACCCCTAGTCAGGTCATTCCAGTTCAGCCCACCTAAGTAATTTTTCAGTCCTATGAAATCAGCCAAGCGAAAGTCAGGGACGGAGACTTGATTGCCATTATTAGGGGAATTCCATGATATGTTAAAACTGAGTGATTTGTGATCACTCTCCCCAAGCTCATCATTAACCTCAAGATTATTAATTAGTGTTTCCCTACTGGCAAGAACCAAGTCAAGGAGGTTATTTCCCCTAGTTGGCTCTGTCACAAACTGTTTTAAAAAACAATCCTGGATCGTATCAAGAAAGTCACCCGACTCTAAATTTCCTGTCAAGCGAGTGTAAAACGAAAGCCTGTAATTGTTTTACACAATGGTAGGAATGCTGGTGTCTTTTTTTCTGTCTCATAAACATACAAGATTTCAGGTACGTCTTGCTACTTCAACTTACATTAAGGCCACACTACACATGCCTGTACAACTACTTCAACTTACATTAAGGCCACACTACACATGCCTGTACAAGCATATATACACACACCCTTCTGGGTTTTCTATTTTTTCTTACTAGTTCTTGTTCTTGTTTATTTCCATTTACCTCCATGGGGAAGTGGAACAGAATTCCTCCTCCGTAAACCATGTGTGTTGTAAGAGGCAACTAAAATGCTAGGCGCACGGGGCTAGTAACCCCTTCTCCTGTATATATTACTAAATGTAAAAGAAGAAACTTTCATTTTTTCTTTTGGGCCACCCCGCCTTGATGGGATACAGACGTGCGTTGAAAGAAAGATAAGTCCCATGTGTTACTTAAGTCATGTTTTACACAACTGATTTTCAGTCTCTTCATCGGACATCTTGTCTCTGGTTTATACTAAGGCCAGTCTTAGTATAAACCAGTCTTTTGGGTTATGTTGGTAACTCACTCACACACACATACATGTACTGTATTATATGATTGAGAATTGTGAAATGAGTAATTGAATGAAAAAATTACCAACAGATAAAATAATTCTGAAATCCATTAAATGAAAGATATCCACCATTATAAAACAAAACAAAGACCACATTCTAAGGATGAAATTCAACACTAAGAGATCAACAGCACACAATTTTTGCCTCCAATTAAGACACTCACTTTGATTGGTGAACCCTTCTGCACAGCATAGCCAGTGTCTGCAGGGAAGAAACTATCCTTGGCCAGATACACCCTAGTCTCTCCATTCTTGTCAATAAAATGCATGGCAATTGCGTCTCTCAGGTAAGTCTTGAAGGAGATGAAAGCAAAGTGCTCATTCAGGGCTCGCTGCATGCACTCCACTAGAGACGGACAAAATGTCAGTCCTCGGAAGATATTCTGATAAAGAGGCACCTGTGAAGAGGCAGGAAATGCAGGTCAATAGGAACCTACAATAAGGCATGAGCTAGGTTACTAGTAGGTTAGCTTAAGGTCCATTAGGCATATAACCCAATCAGAAGTAGACTAACTGAACCTAACTTATAAGGCAGGTTAGGTTCCAGGCTACTGCTGGACAACAGAATGCCATTTTTCCCACTTATAAATGCATATAAATGCCAGATAAGTTTACACTTACATATATTAAGTTAGCAATCGAACTAGGCATTAAAAACAATAAAAAGTAAAATACGCAAACAGTGCACTCATTACTTACTTTAAAATATTTGTAGTCTTAATGTAGGGTGAGAGGCGAGTCATATTTATTTGTAGGAAGTCAGGAGTGGGAGGTATGGTAGCCAGCCAGGTCAGCTCACCCCACCCACACGTAACATACTACAATGCTTAAAGCGCCCCAGAGCGATAAAATACATAGACAGTACAGTTGGCCCTCGGTTATCAGCCATAATGCATTCCAGAAGGCCGGCCTAAAACCGAAATAATTATTCCCATAAGAATTAATGTAAATACAGGCGTGCATGAGCGTGTTCAATAGGAGTGAATGGAAACGAATGGTATTTGGGACCTGACAATCTGTTGGAGTGTGAGCAGGGTAATATTTAGTGAAGGGATTCAGGGAAACTGGTTATTTTTATATAGCCGGACTTGAGTCCTGGAAATGGGAAGTACAATGCCTGCACTCTAAAGGAGGGGTTTCGGGATATTAGCAGTTTGGAGGGATATGTTGTGTATCTTTATACGTACAGTGGACCCCCGCATAGCGATTTTAATCCGTGCAAGAGGGCTCATTGTTATGCGAAATGATCGGTATGCGAATGAATTTTCCCCATAAGAAATAATGGAAATCAAATTAATCCGTGCAAGACACCCAAAAGTATGAAAAAAAAAAAATTTTACCACATGAAATGTTAATTTTAATACACACAAACTGAAAAAGGCATGCACAATTACATGACACTTACTTTTATTGAAGATCTGGTGATGATTGATGGGATGGGAGGAGGAGAGAGAAAGTGTTAGTGTTTAGAAGGGGAATCCCCTTCCATTAAGACTTGAGGTGTTGAGTCCTTTTCTGGGGTTACTTCCCTTCTTCTTTTAATGCCACTAGGACCAGCTTTAGAGTCACTGGACTTCTTTCGCACAACATATCTATCCATAGTGGCCTGTACCTCTCGTTCCTTTATGACTTCCCTAAAGTGTTTCACAACTTTGTCAGTGTAATAATCACCAGCACGGCTTGCAATAGCTGTGTGAGGGTGATTTTCATCCATGAAGGTTTGCACTTCAAGCCACTTTGCACAGATTTCCTTAATATTTGTAGTAGGCAACTTCTTCAATTTCTCTCTCCCCTCCTCTGAACCAGTTTTCCTCAGGTGTGGCCTCTTGCTGTTGAAGTTGATCTATCAGCTCATCCAGTGGTTAGTTCTTCATTGTCCTCCTCCACCAACTCTTCCACATCCTTCCCACTAACCTCCAACCCCAAGGACTTTCCCAATGCCACAATGGATTCCTCAACTGGCATAATCCTCTCAGGGTTAGCCTCAACCCTTCAAAATCCCTTTTGTCTACACATTCTGGCCACAGTTTTTTCCCAAGCAGAGTTCAAGGTCTTCTTAGTCACTCCCTCCCAAGCCTTACCTATAAGGTTTACACAATTGAGGATATTAAAGTGATCTCTCCAAAACTCTCTTAGTCAGTTGAGTTTCTGAGGTCACTACAAAGCACCTTTCAAACAGAGCTTTTGTGTACATTTTTTTTGAAGTTTGCAATAACCTGCTGGTCCATGGGCTGCAGGAGAGGAGTGGTATTAGGAGGCAAAAACTTCACCTTAATGAATTTCATGTCCCCATAAAGTCGCTCTGCCATGTCTGTAGGATGACCAGGGCATTGTCTAACACCAGGGGGGCACTTAAGTTCTAATTTCTTTTCAGTTAGGTAATCTTTCACATTGGGGGCAAATGCATGGTGTAACCAGTCATAGAAAAAGTCCCTAGTGACCATGCCTTACTGTTTGCCCTCCACAGCACACACAAATTCTCCTTGAGGACATTCTTTGCCTGAACGGTCTGGGAGTTTCAGAGTGATACACTAATAAAGGCTTCACTTTGCAAACACCAGTAGCATTGGAACACATCAACAAAGTAAGCCTGTCTTTCATAGGCTTATGTCCTGGGAGTGCCGTTTCCTCCTGAGTAATGTAGGTCCTGCTTGGCATTTTCTTCCAAAACAGGCCTGTTTCATCACAATTAAACACTTGTTCAGGTTTTCAGTCCTTCAGCCTCTATGTACTCCTTGAATTCATGCACATATTTTTCAGCCGCTTTGTGGTCCGAACTGGCAGCCTCACCATGCCTTATCACACTATGTATGCCACTACGCTTCTTAAATCTCTCAAACCAACCTTTGCTGGCCTTAAATTCACTCACATCAGCACTAGTTGCAGGCATTTTTTTAATTAAATCCTCATGCAACTTCCTAGCCTTTTCGCTTATGATCGCTTGAGAGACGCTATCTCCTGCTAGCTGTTTTTCATTTATCCACACCAATAAGAGTCTCAACATCTTCCATCACTTGCGATCTTTGTTTCGAAAACACAGTTAAACCTTTGGCAAGAACAGCTTCCTTGATTGCCTTTCTGGTGCCCACAATAGTAGCGATGGTTGATTGGGGTTTCTTGTACAACCTGGCCAGGTCGGCGATACGCACTCCACTTTCATACTTATCAATGATCTCTTTCTTCATCTCTATAGTAATTCTCACCCTTATTGCTGTAGGGTTGGCACTAGAAGCTTTCTTGGGGCCCATGGTCACTTATTTTCCAGAGAAAATCACCAAAAACAATGTAATAATACGAAATGTTCCGATTGTATGCTTGGATGTTACCGCGGAGGCTGACTGGTAAACAATGGCACGGGCGGCACATGTGAGGCTGGCTGAGGGCGCACATTGGACGCGTCTCGGACGAACAGCGGTGAGCGGGTTTTTGAGCGGTATGCGAGGCAAAATTTTTGCGATTAAAGCGAGCGGTATGTGGATTAAACGTTATGTGATGCCAACGGTATGCAGGGGTCCACTGTATATGCTTCTAAACTGCTGTGTTCTGAGCACCTCTGCAAAAACAGTGATTATGTGTGAGTGAGGTGAAAGTGTTGAATGATGATGAACGTATTTTCTTTTTGGGGATTTTCTTTCTTTTTGGGTCACCCTGCCTCGGTGGGAGACGGCCGACTTGTTGAAAAAAAAAAAATTAATCTGTTCCAGACACCCAAAAATATTCACAAAAAATACATTTTTTAGAGATTAATTATAGTTTTACATACACAAAACAATGAGAACTAAATAAAATAAATACATGAACAATTAAATCAGTATTACTTACCTTTATTGAAGACTGTTGTTGGCTTATGGAAGATAGGGACGAGGAGAGTTTATTGTTTGGAAGGGGAATCCCCTTCCATAAGGACTTCAGGTATCAAAACCCTATCTGGAGTTACTTCCCTGCTTTGTCTTTTAATGCCACTAGGACCAGCTTGAGAGTCACTGGACTCCTGTCACACAAAATATCTATCCAGAGAACTCTTTCTGGCATCTCTTTAAGATTTCCCTGAAGTGGGACAAGGTTCTGTCACTGAACCTGTTGCAGATGTAGCTTGTTTCAGCTTGGTCAGGGTGATATTTCTCGGCAAAAGCTTGCACCCTAGTCCACATTGTACAAATCTCCTTAATCTCTGAAGAAGGCACCTCCTTCACTCCCTCTTCCTCCTCCTCTGAAGCAAGTTCCTGAGCTGTGGTTTGTTGCTGTTCCAGATGAAGCTCTTGCAGCTCTTCCATGGTTAGCTCTTCCCTGTGGTCCTCCACCAACTCTTCCACATCCTCACTACTAACCTCCAACCCCATGGACTTGGCCAGAGATACAATGGATTCAACAACAGGTGTAGGGTCCTCAAGGTCAGCCCCAAACCCTTCAGAATCCCTCTCTTGGACACATTTTGGTCACAGTTTTCTCCAAGCAGAGATCAAAGTCCTGGAAGTCACTCCCTCCCAAGCCTTACCTATAAGGCTTATGCAATGGAGGATATTGAAGTGATTCCTCTACAACTCTCTTAGGGTCAAATCTATGTCCGAGGTCACTTCAAAGCACCTTTGAAACACTACTCTGGTGTACAGTTTTTTGAAGTTAGAAATGACCTACTGGTCATTTCTTTAGAATCTCCCATAAGCACAGTATCATCAGCAAAAAGTAACTGTCAATTCCCATTTTGTAGTTGATTCCCCATAATTTAATCCCACCCCTCTCCCGAACACCCTAGCATTTACTTCTTTTACAACCCCATCTATAAATATATTAAACAACAATGGTTACATTACACATCCCTGTCTAAGACCTACTTTTACCGGGAAATAGTCTCCCTCTCTTCTACGCACCCTAACCTGAGCCTCACTATCCTCATAAAAACTCTTTACAGCATTTATTAACTTACTACCTATTATATATACAGTGGACCCCGCTTTATGAACGCATCGCGTTATGTTAAATCCACCATACGAAGCATTTGAATGCAAAAATTTTGCCTCGCCTCACGATAAAAAACTCGCCTTACATGATTCGTCCAGGACATGTCCCACGTGTGGCCTCAGCACCAGTGTTTACAAGCCAGCCAGTGCGGTCGCATCTACGCATACATTCGGTACATTTTACATTATCCCAGTGTTTTTAATGCTTGTAAGTGCATAATAAGTCACCATGAACCCCAAGAAAGCTTCTAGTGCCATCCCTGTGGTAAAAAGGGCGAGAATTAGTATGGAATTGAAAAAAGAGATTAAAGAAATGCGTGCAAAGTGGGTTGAACTGCAAACATTTACGGATGAAAATCATCCTGACGCAGCTACTGCAAGCCGTGTTGGCAACCTGTACAATGACAATGTTATGGCCCATTTTAGAAAAGTCTTAAAGG